ACTTAGTTGATAAGTATCTCTGTTGCCGTTTCTTGAACAGCTAATGGCAAACACTTCCCATCTCCCCGGAGGCTGCTGCAGATCTTGAAGTACCAACAAAAGCCTACCTTAGGGCTCCTTAACATGATGACCGTGTGATTCCTCATTGGTAGCACGTTGTGGGGCTTGACCTTGCACCAGGTATGGTCCCACCAAGTCTAGACCTCCCGATAGCCGAACCCAAGCCAGTCAACCTCAGGCGAGACGAACCCAAGCGAGTCGACAAGTAAATCGTATGTAGAGATGGAAAACAGGACCGTTGTCTTGATCTTGTAAACCTCTGGATTCTCGTTTGTCTAGTGCACACAACAAGTCAGCTGTACTGTAGATTAGATTGAACACAATTCTACTCACCTTTGATCAATAAACAATATATACAATCTCTCTGTTGTCCATGACGATCGGATTGCCAACAGTCCCGGGGCTCCAAGACTTTTCAGTCGCGTCCCCATCTTTTCTGGGTTTTCCACGCTCGTTACCGCCTTTGTCGCTGTCGTTGTTATCATTGCCGCATTTGTCGCCGTTGCCATCGCCATTGCCGCTGTTCTTGCTTTCGTTGCCCCCGACATCGTCATCACGTTCCTTGTTCTTAACGTTAATGAAGGCATATTAGCACGTCTATAATCACAGTCCTCAAAAAAATCAGATGGACATACCTCATTGCAGCACCATTTGGCTGCCTGTTCCTTCTCGACACTGGAGGCCCTGCACTTTAAGAATCTGGCCACGTCAGAATCTAAAAAGCTGCTATGCTCAAAGTCAGACTGTAGCAAATGTCAGCGCAACTCCAGATTTCCGCTAACAAGCCTGAGACTTACAGTCTTCTTTCCCAGGACTTCTTGTATGCTATCAAGGAAAGATTGGTGGGAAGTCCTGGCTTCTTTCCCCTTTGCCGAGATCTTTGCATGTGGTGTTCTAGGCATTTCCGCGTTGTTCTCATCAGGCCGACCAGAGACTCTGTTGCTTGCTGCTTGACTGGGCCCTGATGTGGACCTTTTGGCGATGTCACTCGCGTTCAGATAGTAGAGGTCCTCCAAGTTGTCTCTCTCCATATTGGTCACATCTCCAATTGATGACCCATCAGCGAGAACAGTGGATATGGCCTGTGTACAAGTGTAAGCAGATACCCAGACCTGAGATTCACCCTTTACCTACCCAGTCAGCTGACAAAGTCAGGTCCTGTGCCTGTGCTAATGCCAGACTCGAGAATGCATCGGAGAATGACTTCGGAGGACTCGAAGGCAGAAGTGACGATGAGGGGCTGAAGGCGGTCAGGGACTTCAAGGCCGCTGGACCGCAGGAAGACGAGATCAGGCCCAATTCATGAGTCCAGATCATTGGACTTACCTTTGAGAAGATTGTCTTGTCCGAGGTCTCAGCCTCTGCAGTTGCCCCTTCCTTGTCTGCTTTGCCCTCCGCCGTCTGTCGATGACTCAATCATTACATATACCATGAGTTTGCAGAACCCAGAGTACCATCTTCAGCCCTTGATTGCCCAGCTTATCTAATTCCGCAAGAACCTTGCTCTGTCCCCTCACGGCTCGCAGTGGCTTGGGGCCGAATGACATATGAAGCCCGGACTTTGGCCTAAGGCCCAACACCACTGCTGTGGTGCTTGTGCTTGTCGACGTCGCACCTCTTTCACTAGACAGATCTCTGCAAGCCCCTGGTGTAGGCTATTCATTCTCAGCTGACAGAACAAGGGAGCGAAGGGCTTCGGCACATACTGAGCTGTCCGGGCTGCTGTCACTGTCGAGGTAAGGCAACCTGTCCAGCTCTCCTTGGCTCCTCTCAGCTTCTGACGACAATGGAAGCACTGCACGAGAGACAAAAGACTGTACGCTGTTTTGGGCCTGCGTCCTAACTGGCGTCATTGAGGCATTTGCATCCGCTGATGCTGCGGCTGAACCTGATCCGCCGGCTCTGATCGTTTGCGACAGCTGGAGAAAGTCTAGATCCGCTGGCCAGCCGATTTCTCTCTGCTTATCTTGCTGAGGGTATTCGTCAGCCACAGCAGGCTTCATATCCCTAAGGAATGCTCACCAATTGGTTCCTATAGGAGTTAGCAATCCTGACTTTATCTTGATATTTGGCATGTTTGTCAGCTACCGTGGCCTGCAGCTTAGTGAGCTTCTCCATGTCCTTTGAGCTTAGGTCCCCGTTGTTCTGGTGCTTTGATTCGAAAATTGCCTAACAATACCGTCATTGAGAGCACAATAAATCAGCTGACTTGTTCTCACCAGTGCATCGGCAGCCAACTTCCACTCCCACTTGGCCTCATCTTGATGTTTCATCTTATTTGCTAGCTGTACTTCCATACATGTCATTATTATCTCCATTCTTTTCATCAGGGAAAATCCCTGGAGCTAATTAGTAGTAACTTAGAGTATAAGTATCCTAAGAGACCGACAATCCACCTAAGGTTCCTAATCAGGCTGCTATATCAAGTTAGGGTTTGCCGCCACAAAGGCGACGCGCGCGAGCTTCTGTTCTAAATGTCCTAGTTATCCTAACCACCACCTAGCCACTGCACCCCCCCTGCTCGGCAACATGCGGAGAGTGCGCTTGCATGCGCTTTCAATTTAGACATCTATCATCCACTTCTCTATCGCCCTCGCAATGCCTGTCGACCGCACGAAATCAGTTGTCACCATCCACACTGACTCGTCTCCGGATTCATCCCTGCAAGCATCACATGTCTTCTCTGGTAAACCCAAGCTTCGACGACGGTCTTCACATGATACTCAAAGAATGAGAAGGTATGCTCTTGCTTCTTTCTCCTTCCCTGGGCCAGACCAGGCTGTTCTTACGCTCTTCTGTCCCACTCAAAGCTTCTTCCAAGCTGGTGGGGCCCTTGACTCGCAGACAACTGACTCACAATATATCAACGGCTTTTTTGAGGGCCCAGGGCCCAACGGCTTCATGTCAGCCGGTCCTCTGGATGAGGGAGTGGGATTGAGAGAGCGAGGCAAAGATACGGAGCAGCAGACATCGTCCGGCAGTGACGACAGAGCAATCAACAGTGCGTACACTTGCTGTTCACTTAGCATACATATTACTAACGCTTTCACACTATAATAGAACACTCTCCGACTCCTTCACACTCACCTTTAGAGACGACTCTAGAACCAAACTCAGACCAAACTGCCCTTGCAAAGCACGAGCTGAGAAGTTTTGCAAAATTGTCAGCACCTTCAACTCCAAGTCCCACATTCCTAGCAAATGTTTCAAGCTCAGGCACCCAAGCACTCGAGGGCAGTCAGCAGCTTGACTCACCGCCCTTTCGCATCAATCGGCCTCTCGTACTGCATGTCCACCCATCCAAGATGTACCCCGGTACTCGACAGGTGTACCGGAAGCTCGACCCGGCTTTAGAGCCCATCGGAAAGACAGAATACGAGATTCAAGAAGCAGCGCGTGTAGAGTATTTGAGGCGAGTTGGGCTTAGGTTGCTACCTATGCCATCAGAAAATGTTTTGCGGATTGCTCTTGTACCGATAGCTCCTCCTGATGCTGCGTTGTAGTGTAAACATAGACGCCCCCCCCC